GTTTGTGGCGACGTGATGGGGGGCAGTGGCTTTAAACTAGAGCAGGGTAGATTTAGATCAGATGTTAGGAAGCAGTTCTTCACTATGAGGGTGGTGAAAAACCCTCATAGTTGCCCGGAGAGATGGTGGAGGCTCCATCTCTGGAGGTTTTCCAGGTCAGGCATGATGGGGCTCTGAGCAACCCGATGCAGTTAAAGCTGTCCCTGCTCCCTGCAGGGCTGGGACTAGATGGCCTTTAGAGGTCCCTTCCAGGCCAGCACATCTATGATTCTGTGATTCTTTTTTCAGTGTGTTTTGTGTGACATCACAGCCATTCGAGGGAAACCTTACTCCCACAGCAAATCTGGATGTGTTCAGTTGGAGTCTCCTAACTTGCTCTTTCTGCATTCAGCATCAGTCTGTGCTTCTAGCTCGGCCGTACTTGCCTTACAGCATACTTCGTGAAGTGATACTAAAAGAACTCGTGTTGACATCCAACCTCATTCTTGCTGTAACCCCACAATCTGTTTTTAATGTCACATGTGATGAGCTGAGTCAAAGTCTCTGTTCTCTTTTGTCGGAGCTTTGCTGGAGATTAGTACAGGGGTTCCTGAAATAGCTACAGACTGACAGGAGAGCAGAGCTGGAGGGGGCCTCCGGGGGTCTCTCGGCGGGACGCCCGCTCAGAGCAGGGAGTTCATTCAGGATGCTCGGAGCCTTGCTTTAGTCCAGTTATGAAGATGTCCAGGAATGGAGATCCCACAGACTCGGGCCCTGTTGCAGAACTTAATCATGCTCACTGAATATAATTAATACATTTTTCACAATTGGAATATTCTTTGTTGCAACTTGCCACGGCTGCCTCTAGTCTTTTCATCGTGTACTTCTGAGAAGAATGGCTCCATAATCTCTATTAGAAGACAACCATAGTGTGTCCGGAAAGCTTTTTGTATGTGTGTGTGTGTGAAAACTATTAAAAGAATTCAAACCACTCTGGGGAATGATGAACAGTATCTGTTGCATCATCTCAGTCTTCGCCCGTGCCTAAAGGCAGTGTCCTTAAAAATCATAAACACCTTGACTTGAGAGCGTTGTGTGTATTACTTCAGAGGAGAGAAGGTAAAAAATTACCCCGCCCAGGAAACTTTTTTGGATCGATACAAATAATCAAGAGACTCAAAAAAAGACCTGAGCAATGGATCATTTAAGAGTAAGAGAGCAGGAAACCTTTTCATACAGCAGTGTGTGTGGGCACTGATAACAGCAATGCTTCCAAAGCAGCAAAACAGCAATGGAAAAACCTGCTACAGAGTCCCCTCTCACATCACACACTGATGCCACAGTGTTGCTTGGAGAGTCTAATCATCTCTGTGTATCGTCTTAATACAGTTGTTTTCACAATCTTGTTCGGTCCAGTTGTGCAAAGCACTAGATTCCCAAATATACGTCATTTAAAAATGTATTTTCTGTTCTTATTAACAACCCCTTTTAAGCCATTTTCTTGTGGCTGCATAAATGAAATGGATGAGATTATAGGATCTGAATCTCACCCAAATTGCCGGTTGCCCCGTTGAGCAGGGTGAGTTCAGCCGGGTTGAGCAGTAGTGTCAGCTTATTTGCTCTTGTAGGTGCAGGAACCTGTTTCTGAAGGAGCGAGGCAAAAGCCACGGCCGGGTGGTGTGCCGGGAGTTTGGCAAGCTTCTGCTCCTGCTAAAAGAACTGGGAACAATTGTGAACCTGAAGAGAGCCCCTGAGAAGCAGCTAGTGGTGAAGAAGAAGCGGCGGACTACAGCTAGTACACAGAAGATGATGTTACCAAAGGGTTTGTTTAGTATTAAAGGAAGAATTCCAGATGTTAAAGCAGTGTTCTCAGAAGTTCTCCATGTGAAAACAGACCTGTGAGCTTCCCTCTTTCCTAGCGAGAGGAAGGGATCTGCCTGCTGCTCGGAGAGGTCCCCAGCCAGGCTCGCCTCAGAGCGTCGGGGAAGGAAGAGCTTCTTGCCGAGGAAGTGGAAGGATCTCGAGTCTCCAAATTAAAGTTAAATTCCAGCATCGTCTGGAGTGGAGGAGAACTGGGTGCTGTTAGTCCCCATCAGAGAGGAAGCCCAGAATTTCTGCCTAGAGAGCGATGCAGGTACTGTAGGAGCTTCTTGGTCATTGAAGCTGCATAATCAAAGGGAATTGCTCTTTGCTTCCTGCGCACAGGTTACGCAGAGCTGAGCTGGAGGAGCCTCCTCCCTCATGCCCTCTTGCGCAGGCTGTGATGAACCGGAGACGCTCTGTCCTGTGCTCCGTGGGAAGAGAAGGTTGCTGGGAGTGAGCGAAACCCACAGATCTTCCTGCGAACTTCTGGGATCCCTGCTCAGGCATGACAGACTGGCTAACAACTTCTTGTTGTCTTTTCCCGGTATTAATTACTGGGAATTGGTCTGTCTCCTTCCTTTCCCGCAGCGTGTTTAATTCCCTGTCGCAGCACCGTGCGCACAGGAGTTGTAGCAGCTCATGAGGGCACCCATTGCCAGCAAGTCAGGAGGAAGTATCTAAAAATGGCTTACGAAGGTTCTTCAAAACAGAAACATCAAACTGTTCTTACTGTCCTTCACTTGTAAAGAGAAAAAAAAAAAGCTCTTTCAGTCAGTCTTGGCTTTATTTGGGTAAAACATAATATGTCTTCTCCTCGTCACCCATGCATGTTTATTCATCCTGTTTGAAACACTGCTGTTTATGGCTGAAGGCAGTAAAACGAAAACATTCATTTGATTGAAGAGTAAGTGGATTTTTTTTTTCTGTGCTGGCAAGCCTTGGTTTTGCAAGATTGGTTTGAATTAGGTTACATTTTTCTGTTTCTCATGATGCTTCATGTAACAAGATGAAGTTGTATTGTTATTCTTAAAATAATACTGAGTCCAGTTTGATTCTCTCTCCTTATATGGCAGATGATCACTGCATTATCGTCTGCTTAGATACCATCTGTAACATCTGAAACCGAAAAAAACCCAACCACAGGACAACACTGCTGCTTGAAGACTGCTACATTGCACAAAGAGAATATTTTGATGTGGCATTGATCACTGCTTAGATACCATCTGTACAGCAAACGAAACCGGAAAAAAACCAACCACAGGACAACACTGCTGCTTGAAGACTGCTACATTGCACAAAGAGAATATTTTGATGTGGCATTATACAAAACCGCAAAAGATCTTCTTTTCCTCCTGCCTTCCTTTCATTCAAGAAAGGCTCGGTACAGAACCATGAATGACATTTCTAGAAGCAGGACTAGATGCAGAGGATCTTGAGTCATACAGCAGCACCAGCTCTTTGGAGGAAATTGCTGCTTCTGTCTTTTGTCGCGGCTGTGAAGGCAAAGTTTGAACAGTGAGAAAATGGGAAGGAATAAAAAATGGAGATGCTGCTTTCCGTATTTGAGGAGTTGACTTAGTTTTCCCGTACAGTCATTCTGATTAGATACGGATATAAGCTTGTCTGATCAATTCTCATTTTCTCAAAACCACTTTCATACTGTTTGGCTTTGCCTGTTCTAGTGCTGTGCTGGGGCGAAATGCTCTATTGCTGTGTCGATTAGTTGGGAACTTCTAGTCTCTATTCGGTGTGTTTATATGCTGTCATCTTTTTGTTAAAGTTTTGCAGACTAGTTATATTTTGGCCTGATGAGAATGCCAGTGGAGCTGCTTTAAAAATGCTGTCAAAGTAGTCCTGTTATTTGGTTAAATACTTCTGTGTGGTTCATGATTCTCAGAAATTGCAGTAGGGGAAGAGGGGGTTAGACATTAAAAAAAAAAATGGAAGTCTTACAATATTCTTTACTGCCTTCTCTTCTGGATATTTGCCGTGTTATGAGAATGGGGTCATTTGACATGAGAGAATGTGCACAAAGTGGAGAAACGTGCGTTAATGACCGGTGAGTGATAACATGCAGATAAAGCCACGGCACACGTTAAATGCAAAAATGCAAAGCAAATATCTGTAAGGTAGCAGGGTTGTTATAGACCAGAGCATGTGTTAACTGGTTAGCAGTTTTACATCACAACAAGGAGAAGATAAGAGACTCACCAAGAAATTGTGCATTTCGGTGTTAGGAGCAGTAAATTTCCCTAACCTATTGGTTCTGTGCTCACAGATTTCCTGGGGATTCTAGTGCAAAAAAAAAGTTTGTGGCAAGAACTTTCTCTTAGATATGAAATGGTAATAAGTGGGCTAGATAAGGTATGAGGATAAGAGGTAAACTAGAGAGAGTATTAAGTGACTGAACGCAAAATAACCAGCTGGGTTGTTACCCGACTAACGGGTTTATTCAGCCCTGACAGTCAGAGCAGTACGGTGGGCGAAACAGTAGCCCGAAGTCATTTATCAGTGGGTAAAACTCGTGTGAGACCTAAGGGACAACGTAGCTGCTACTAGATCTGGGGGATAGTTCTCGATGCGCTGACTTGTGTTCTACAGGCATCCTTTTGAAACCTGCCTTTCTTCCGGCTTCGAAAGCGTGGTTGAAACAGCACCTTACGGCAGCCAGTGGAAATGCTGGCATCACGTGCAAGCGAGGCTGTAATTTGGAAAGTACTTCCCTAGAAGTCAGCATGAATAAGTGGAGAAGCACATCGAAAGGAACTTCTCTGTGTGTTTACTCGCCGCAGCCATTCCACTGGCAGGTTGCAAAATGCCCCCCTTGGCTGCCGTTCAAGTTGGGATTCGTTTGAACACCAGTGACGCTGGTGACGTATCATGTGTAACAAACAGGAAGCTTTTCCACTGATGTAAAGTCTGATGAAGTAAAATCTTTTATCTGTGGACTCCAACTGCATACGATGGTCGTGACTGTGGGAGCCCGTGCTCTGAAGTGCGCTCACCTTGACTGTTTGCAGCCGCTGTGAAATAGCATAATGATGGGTTGATCTGTTGACAGCTTTTAAAGACTGTTTATATATGTTTATATATTTTATATTTATAATTTTATATGTTTATATATGTTTATTTATATATGTTTATATATTTTTAACAGGTTTATCTCAGACTAAAGCCTCCACAGTCCAAGGATGTTGATTCTTCTGGCTTTCATCATTGTGTTCCACATAACCTCAGCAGCGCTGCTGTTCATCGCAACTATTGACAATGTAAGTGTCACTTCTTCTCCTCTTCCCCCACACATAGAGGTGTTCCTTTGCTTCGTAAAAATTAAGATATTCTTTAGTTGTCTTCATCTTGCTTGTTGAAAGTACGTAGCTTTGTCGGGCACCCTGGTTTTCTGCAATAAAAATGCTTTGAGTACGAATGTTACTGGTACTCATGGGTAAGACTGTACGAGCACATGCTGCGCGTTTGTGTGGCATCTTGTTCCAAGCCCGTGTTACGCAGCTGATCTCTTCCCCTGCGAGATTCTTGGCCAGGGAGTACATTTAAAAATACTGCCGTGCTTGCAGGGTGGAGCTACGGGACTTGGTTCAACTCGTTCAGTACCCTTTTGTGTTAAATGTTAAAACATCAGAATAGAAATACCATGGGAGGATCTTAATTTGTCGCTGGCCGCTTCCAGGCGGATGCCGTAGCGTACTTACTGCCCGCCCACATCGACAGCACAGCTACAGTAAGCTGAGGTCACTTCAATTCAGGATCAGGGACCAGACAGAAAATTTATAAAGGGCTTCTGTTTCCTAGGTGTATACCCTGCTGTTCCCTGCAAATTAAAAAATGCTGTGCCCTTTAGAGTTGTGCATCCTAAACAGGGTCTGGGTGAACAAAGCAGATCTTGCCTAGGGATCTTAAGGAGCGAGCAGCCACTGACTATCTAAAATTTCTGCCCGAACACTGGAAAATCCCTTGTTCTTTGGGATGTTTAAGGTTGCCATCTCTTGCCTTTTCGACTTTACATAGGTCTAAAGTGGAAGTGAGATGCGAATAATTATATACCCTTCAGTCCAAAATGTCATCGGATCTCAAATTTAGCTTGAGCGGTTAGGGACCAAAAACGAAGAAATTTGTTCTGGCTGAGGAATGTGACCAGGCGACACTTGGACATCTGAGGAGTTTTGTGAGTGGTTTTTGGTTTTGTTTCCCCTCTAAGAGCCCTTTACTTCTATTTTTCAGGCCTGGTGGGTGGGAGATAATTTTTCTACAGATGTCTGGAGCATGTGTTTCACAAATACCAGCACCTGTACGGCTATTACGGATCAATTCAGAGGTGAGTGTCGCTCAGTGCCTACGTCTCCGTTCCTTTGGCAGGAGATCTGGTGAAATTGCTACAAAACTTGCAGGGCCAATAATCCATTTGTTCAAAAATCTGCATGCTGTTAACTACTCAGGTCTTCTGAAAACTTTAACATCGGGTTTTCCTTTTGGAAAACCAAACTGTTCCAACAGTTTCTGTAAGAGGAAAACAGAGAGAACGGTCAGGTGAAAGCCCAGTGCAAGAGAGTAAGCACAACTAATGCGTGCTAAAGAGCTCTTAAAAGATTAGTTGGGGTAAACCAGCAAAATCGTCTGAAAGCGCAGCTCAAATGATACAGTTTGCCTCAGAGTTGAACTTTCAAAGAACCCAAATATACTGGCTGCATAAAAGAATGGGGGAAAAAGCAGAAGGAAGTCAGCAGTCAAGCTGGAATTCTAACAAAGAGAACCTAATACACAGCACAGCCTAATGTCCTGCCTTACAAAAAATAAAAATAAAAAAAATCTCAAATGTTACCTTTATTTCTACAGTTGCTGTCTTGGTGTACGGTAAAGAGGTGGATGGCTTGAAGAGCTGTGTACCTATGAAGTAACTTTGCTTTCCAGGCAGAACGTTGGTTTATCTGGGCATATCTATGATGAGATGAGATGATCCGTTACACGTGGGCATATCTAAGCTTACATGAATTTAATGGATCTGCCCTTGATGTCTCTCTTGCTCTGCATTCATTGAAACCGGGTGCCCAGAGCAGCTGGATTCTGAGTGGGGCGGGTACCTCCTGTCCACAGCCCTACCAACCGCAGCGTAGCTACGGCAGAGGTGCCACAGGGAGCTCATCTGCGTCGTTTAGGTTGTGTATGTCCTTGTGGCAAAGTTACACAAAGCCACCGCACGTACCTACAAAGTTATTGGTTACTTTAGCTCCTAGTTATAGGGAAGTAATTGATGGGAGGGAAAACCTGATTCCCGGGAATCTTTGGTGCCCAGCATGGGTGTCCTGCCTGGTTACACCTGCCAGGTGTGGTGAGAGGCTGGGCGAAGCCGTGTGGGACTCCGGGCACTTCCTCTGTGCTTTCGGTACACTGATGGTAGCAAAGGCTGTGCTGAGGGAGAAACAGTCTCTTTGGTAATTTTATTCCATTTTATGAAAAGCTTTTAAAAGTCCTTAACCCACTGGCTGTGTTGATACCAGGGAAGCAGAGAAGAGCCGCCCTAGGCTACGCACACAGGGCTGGTTTGTGGTGTGTCTGCTGCCCCCCTGCTTACACCACACAGCTCTGCCCCTCTAGTCATTGCAGGAGTAGGCAAAGAGAGAAATGTGTTTTAATCAAGGCTGCTTTTGTTTTCGCAGAGTATCAATCAATTCAGGCTGTTCAGGCTGCCATGATCCTATCTACTATTTTCTGTTGTGTGGGATTTCTGGTTTTCATTCTTCAACTCTTCCGTCTGAAGCAAGGAGAAAGATTTGTGTTAACCTCTGTTATCCAGCTCCTGTCATGTGAGTGGTTTTTCAGCACTTTTGACTTTCACGATGTTTACCTGAAAGTAGGAACGGGGAAAAGGTCTCGAAAGGAATGACCCACGTGAGAAATTTGTAGGACTCTTGAGGCCACGGCTTATCCTTCATATTTGTTTAGGCAGTGAGCTGCTCCGTTCTGTGCTATTTAGGCAGCTAAAACATGGGTGACATCACTGTTTAGAATAAAGCCGTTTAAACTTCAAAGGGAAAGAATCTGACATTCTGAATTTCTCGAACAGATTAAGTAACTCTGTAATTGTTCCAGACAGGTGCTCCCTTCATTTTTTGTTAGTCTTTAAAACCATCCAGATGTTTACAGTCATTTTGCGTTCACTGCAGATGGCATAAGTACACACACAGCATTTCAGATTTAATCCAAAGAAACTGAAAGTGTGTCCTGAAATGCTTCGACTTTAGTTTGAGGCTGGAAAATGAGTGTCTACAAAAAAAAAAAAAAGGGACGCTGGGGGAAGGAGCTGACAAAAGAGCCCGG